AGGATTCTGCAGAGTTATCCAACAGCAACTAACCCCAAGGAGCACAAGGAGTGACCCCTCCCAAAGAGAAGACTCTATCAGTGCAGTCTCTGCACTAGCTCTCAGCAGCTCCTCTGCCCACCTGTGACTTTGCAGGTGCTTCTTTTCACCAAGTGTGTTGCTCTGCAGGGCAGCTGCCTCCTGCCTGCCCGTGACCATGTGTGTACTTCTCCTCAAGGCCTCCTGCCTGCAACCATGCAGTCCTCTCTCAGCAAACCTGTCCCTCTCGGGGAGCTCTCTCAGCCGTCTTCTGTCTATTCAAGTATCCTTCATTCTTCTGTCCCCTTTTCCTACTAAATCTTTTCTTTAAATATCACTAATCTATGTCTTGTGTAGAAACTCCCCGTGGAAAACTTGCCACTTGCTACTGAAACGGGAGCTCTGGTGACAGGTTTCCACAGTGAGCCCAAGGATCCTGCACTTCATTAACTCCAAAAAACATCATCAGATTTCAGAGTACCTTTAGAAACTGCCAGGGTTGTCTCTCACACAAAGAACTTGCACTATTTGTGTTTACCCCCTCTTTTATTACCAGAAGCTGAAATGAAGGAATTAATTTTCCTGACAGTATGGTAAATGGTTTTTCAGGCTTTTCTGCCCTTCCACCATTAGGTTTGCCCTGCCTGATGGGGCACCTGCAGTTGTTACATTGTGGCAAGCTGCCTTATTTATTTCTCTGGGCCATGGGAGGAAGGAGTATTGAGATAGTCACCAAGAGAATCAGACGCAGGAGAGAGAAGGAGAGAAGTCTAAGAAGCCCAGAGTGAAGATGTCTGGGCAGCCCTGAGTGCCGCATACCTGGTTGCTGCAATACATGTAAAGCTCAAAAAAAGCCTGAGAATGCCACCGAGGCTCCACAGCTTTCCTTAATCTGGTCAGCTTGGATCCTAGATATCCTGCTCTGTGCCCTTCCTGTCTCTACACTGACGCAGAGATACCTGGAGCCCCTGCTCTCCCTCAGCAGTGGTAAGGGCAGGGCCTTCTGCTCTCATGCTACTGGTGCAGGAAAAGGGGAGAAAACTTGACAAGGAGGCATCATAAAACCAGAATCTGACTCACACAGGAGCTGGGGGTAGAAGGGATTCCCAGAGCCATGGACCCAGCTATTGGCACTGACAATCCTGATGCTCCAATGTTTAGGTCAGGAGGCCCAGACCCAAGCACTGCTCAGACTTCTGTAGAGGGTGTCAGGAGCTCAGAAAAGAGGTGAGGATATGGAGATTTGAGGGCCATTGTAGAATCTCAGGTCCTTTTCAAATTCTGCATAGCTATTCAAATTCAACAAAAGCAGACCACCCCACAGAGGTGAGAACCTCTCTGCAAAAGAGGATAAAACAGGAGGCTGGCCCCTCCAGAGGGCATTCTTCTTGTTCCCTCCTGTCTATGCAAGTATCCTTTTTCCTTCTTTCCTTTTTCATAATAATCCTTCTCTTTTGAGTAACTTCTCTGTCTTATGGAGAATCTTGCCCGGAAAATTCTGTGTGTGCAGCTGAAAGGGGAGCCTCTGGTGAAACTGCAACAGGGTGGTGCCCAGGAAAAGGGAAAGTTCCAGATTCCCTGCCCCACCGAATGGAGGGTAGAGCTGAGCAGGGAGGAGAAGATGCTAAAGAGGAGACTGGAGAGGGAGACAGGTTGGAGAGCCAGAAGGAGGCCTGAGAAGGCACATGGAACAGAGAGATATGTGAAGAAGCTGCACTTGCTTCTTGCTCCTGAACTGGCTGAAACAGATGTGGGTGAGAGACCCTTGGGGGATTCAGAATGGCAATTTTTATTTTGATTTTGCTCTTTTCCTCCCAGACTTGTCTGGTTGTTTCTGATCCTTTTCTATGGGTCCCCACCAGAAGGTGCTTTAGACTTGTGGCAGACTATGGGGTCTTTCTCTGGGCCAATCCTGTTTGGGTGGACTTTTACCCATGAGGGAATGGGTAACTTTGTGTGCTTGATTTTGAAACTATATTCTTTGTCTTTTTTGTATTGTTTACTAATTGTATTAAAGTTCCTTTCCAATAAAGGTCTTACATGTTTTGTCTTGATGCGATGGGTCATAGAACTTCTTCACAGCAGGCAGGTTTGGGGGCTCTGGGGTACCTCTCTCTCTGCCCCATAATAAAATCTTTCCCGAGTGTACCCAAGGACCCCACACTCCAAACCCACTGATTCCAAAAATGACATCAACCTCACCACCCCTTCCTTATTTCTGCCTGTGCCAGACCTAACACCCAAGTCTTTGACCCCAGAGCACAAAAGAATCACTACTCACGAGTTATGGATAACATCCTCAGGCCTTCCTGCTTGAAGAAAGGCACAGACTTCAAAATGTGAAAGTTATCAGAACTTTCCTTACTTCAGGGGTTAGAGTATCTCGTCCAGGCATAGAAACCTGTTTAGAAAACCGCTTACTCAATTTTGAGTAATATTCCCATGTACAGGAAAGGACTGTTCTGTCCTGTGTGGTAAAACTTTTCTTCCTTTGTGAAATGCAAGTGGAAATGACAATCCACTCTCCTGTACTTTGGCACCTCGGCCTCCTTTCACTTGTTAGTGCCCTCACACCTCCTTGTCTCTGCCCTACACCTGAGCGTTTCTACCTCTGCTTGCTTGAAAATGCAAATCAGGGAGCAGTAAAAACTGACAGTTTTCATTTCCAGAGAAGGAGATGACAATTACCCACATAGCTTGTTTCCCATATGAACTATGATTTGGTGGGATGATGTTTCCCTCCCTGTCTCCCGACATCTCAGTGTCATCTCACCCTGTCATTAGAGGTAAGTTCTGCAGACACCTCAAGGCCACCCCCCCTGCTTTTGTTTACTGCCTAAGCCCCCCCTTAACATTTATTTTTTTAAGATTTATTTTATTTATTTATGCATACAAGAGCTGGGTTGTAGGCTATAGGTGCAGGTAGGGGGTTGGTGGTAAGAAAATTCACCAGAGACAGAGTCAGGAGCAGAACAGGTGGACTGATTGAAATACACTGCTGAGGGAAGCAGCAGGCCAGACAGGAGAGGTCTGTTGTGCCATGTGGGTTATCGCCCTGGCCTGCCACTGAACTCATGCTGCAGTGGCTGCCAATAGCGTCATAGTGCTGAGACTTAAACCCTTGTGCCACCACCAGGCAGGCCCTTAACAGTTAATTTTTATTGAGGGGGCTGTTCATCTCCCTGTTTTGATACCTGCTGAACAGTGACTTACTATGATGGAGGACAAGAATAAAAAAAAAATGAAAAAGAGGTACGCCACAAGACCAGAAACCTGGCTCACATGAGGTGGGGGTAGAAGAGATAAGCATAGCCATTGACACAGCTATGGAAACCAAGATCCTTAGGCAGCTAACAACACAGTTGTGGAAACTGGTATCCTTAGACGCAGACTAGTGTTCTTAGGCATGGACACCTAGATCACAAAGCATAAAATTCAAGCAGGTATCAGAGGGCACATCCAAAGGTAAAGATATGGAGTTTGAGCCCATTGTAGACTCTCTGGTCCCTTTCAAATTCTACCTAGTTATACAAAATTAGCAAACAACTGACTACTCACAAGGAGTGACCCCTCCCAAACCAAAGAAGACTATATCAGTTCAGTTTCTGCACAGGTTGGGGCAGCAATCCCACTGCCCACCTGTGACTATGCAGGTGTGTGTCTTTAACTGTTTTATCCCTTCCCTAATAAACCTGCCCTTTATATATAACTAATTTCACCTTCTCATGGAGAAACTTGCCTGGGGAACTCACCGCGTATCTCTGAAACAGGAGCTCTGGAGAAACCTTTCCCAGAGTGAACTCAAGGACCGCCGCACTCCAAACACACAGACTCCAGAAATGACAATAGATTATATATGCAGTCTCAGATGATAGCAGAATGAATGCAGTGTTGTGCAAGAGAGGTCTTTCCACAACAGTCAGTGGACAGGGAAAAAAAAAAAAAAAGACCGTGACATGTTCAACTCTGTAGGATTCACAAATTCAGCAATGGGTTATGATTAGAAAAGGCTCCTGAGCCTGGTTCTCCCAGTGCTTCCTCTCCTAACCTTGCTGAGTGCAGGGTGTCTGGGTACAACTGAATAAAGTATAATAACTACACCCTATTCATGAACCAGCAGGCAGGTTTGGGAGGCTGTACTAAGGGAATGAATAAGGATGCCTTGGGGAGAGAGACAGAGGCCAGATATCCATCTGTGACAAGGGCCAGTGCCTGATACCAGATATCCCAGCAGAAAACTGGTACAAACTGGAGCTCGAAAGATGGTGTTGACATCTAATACATCTGGAACTTCTTGAGAGTATTTCATCCCACAAATGCCTTCCCAAACACCATGAGACATGAACACCATGAAAGTGCTATCTGAAGTCCGGTGCTCTGGGCAGGTAGCAAAAGCCATCAACTCCATCTTCATGTTCTGGAAGAGAGCAGAGCACTGGTCTCCCATGTGACTCATTGTCATGACTCTGTGGGCATCCAATAGGGAAACACTTAAGGAATTTATATCTCACTTCAAATCGATGGAATGCAAAATAAAATTTAAACTTAAATTTGGACAAGGTGCAGCAAACGGTTATTGGGTGCTATTCAGGGATTTTGAGTAAAGAGAAAAAGACATTACTGAATTAATATTATAACATCCCACTTAAAAGTTTACCAGACTCTTGCTAAAACCTTGCATGTTTGAAAAGATGATGGTAGCATGATGTCTCCTCCAAGGGAAAACTTCCATTTGAGACTTCCAGGATATATATACTTATGAAGCTACAATGAGGATTTCTCAGATTCTTTAGACATAGGAAAGGTATTGCTCTGTGCCTACATTAGGATAGGTCATACCAAAGCAGTGAGGTTTTCTTTCACATCCACGCTGTACCCCAGACTTTCCAGCAGTCTCTTCATGTCTTTGATGTCAGCATCAGCTCCATTTCCCCCTGAAAGATGGTCAAACTCTGTGTTGCAGATGATGAGGGCAAGACATGTGCACATGGATCTTTCAATTATCAGACATATCTGTAGGAAAGGCAGGTGAGATGAATAGTCTTATTCTCTTTAATTGATGTCCTACCCAGACACAAAATCCCATGAGCCAGAGATAAAGACGTGGAGGGTGAGCGAGTCCTGCCCTAGGGCTGGGGATGGAGTGTTAAGCCCAATGGCAGCCGTGAACATGATGTAATGAGTTTTGACAGGACTGTGCGATGAAGAGACTTTGAAACTAGAATGACTGAAATTTAAAACTAAGTCCCCACTTATTGGTTTGTCTAAAATATTTAATAATCCATGCCTTAATTTAATGATATGTAAAATGGGTTCTATTCAGATTTAAAGGGGGTTTTAATTGCAGCAAACTTAAAATAGATCTGAATTATAGTTAGCATTCAATAGATATGATTGTTATTGTTACTATTTCTCAATAATTAATCAAACTGGGAATTTTTACTAAGTCTGGGAATCTAGGATATAGAAGCGATCTTTGTAAGGGAAGAGTCAAAGTGTTTTTTCAGAGCATCTCAAGGCCACCAGCTCTAAGCCAGCAACATAGCACCTAAAAGTTCTTTCAATATCTTTCACCCAGATCCTTGTATCCACAGCACAGCACCTCTGTTGCTTTTTCTTCCTTTATCATTTGGGCTATTTCTAGGGGACAAAGCTCGTCGTTTTTTCTCTGACCCTGAGGGTGTGAGGGTAGGTGGTTTGTCTTGCACTGCCTGAAGAGCTGCAAGAGATAAGAAACTTTATGAAAAGTAGAATTTCCTCTTGGTGCTCACACAGCTTCTTCTGTGTCAGAAACCGCAGAGGAGGAAATGCATTCTCAGAAGGACAGCTCTGGGCTGGACATTAACGCTGTTGACTGAGTCACTGCCAATGGAACAATCTCAATCCAAAAGAGATTTCCAGAGGTGGGATATAGGATCTACCTTCATCTCACAGAATCAACATTTTTGCACACAATGCTATCAATGTAACAAATACGAAGACAGTTATGTATAAAAGGAACCCTTTGTGTTTAAGCCCATGCTCAGACCTTGCAGGGCTACCCAGGTCTGGGACCTCATGCATGAGTAATAAAGCTTCTCCTGACCTCACCGTTCCTGAAGTACCACTTGTTCTTCCTCTGACTGAGTAGAAGGCCAGAATTTCTACAACGTTTTAGTGTGTTGGCCAGGAACAATAAGCGGTTGGCCCTCTGAGCCATTGGCTTAGAAGGATGCAGATTGGGGGAGGGTTAAGAGAGCCAAGGCACACAGACCAGGCGCACAGGAGTGTGCCTCTCCGCATGGATCACCATTTTAGAACAGGGACCTTTCTTCAATAAAGACTGCTTGAAACTGGCAGGAGGCTCCCCGTGGAGTCAGAGGGAGAAGGTTCCCTGTGCATCAGAGATGAGCAGAAGGCCCCCACAAGGCTGGTCCCGCCTAGTAGGAAGTCAGAGCCCAGAGGGGGATCCAGCAATTTGGAACCCAGAGTGCAATCGGCTGCCCCACCTCCAGGGAAGTCTGTGGGACTTTAAGACACACCTTTGTAATTAAACACAGAAGGAGGAGATATTCTGTGACAGTGACCATCAACATACTCAAAGTACCACTGCCTCACTAGACTTTTAGCATAACAGTATTTGACTCATTTGGACTACCAGTTTCCAAAACCCCCAAAAGAGCACACCAAAAAGATGCCAGCCAGTACCAGCAGCACAGTGTCCCAACACATACGGCAAATTAGAAGACAAGCAGCAGGGAAAAGAAAAACTACATGCAATGTAGCAACTCCGCAGGAAAAAGACACACCACAAAAAGAAAACCACCCACCAGCTTCCAACAACAGCAACTTTGAAGAACTTCTGAGCCTTCCAGAAAAAGAATTTAAAATTGCCATGTCTGGACCTACTAAACATAGAGCTTCCATATGATCCAGCAATTCCACTCCTAGGTATTTACCCAAAGGACACGGAAACATCAATTCCAAAGAACACCTGCACCCCTATGTTTATAGCAGCACTATTTACAATAGCTAAGCTTTGGAAACAGCCCAAATGCCCAAAAATAGATGACTGGATCAAGAAGATGTGGTACATATATACCATGGAGTATTACTCAGCATTCAAAAAAGATAAACACATGCAATTTGCAGCAACATGGATGGCGCTGGAAGGCATCATGCTCAGCGAAATAAGCCAGAAAGAAAAAGAAAAATACCAGATGGTCTCACTCATAGCAGGAATCTAGAAAACTTAAATAAGGGACCAGGAAAATAAATAACTATAAGAAAGTGAAAATCAAAATCAACAAAAATCTATGAACCAGAGACACTTTTAGGGGTTGGGTGGAGGGAGGGGAGGGATTGGGGTTAAAATGGGGGGGTTGAAATTGTATGGGGAATATAAAAATAAAATTTATTATAAAAAAAAAAAGCAACAACAGAAAAAAAAAAAATTTGCCATGATGAAAAAACTGACTAAAGTCATTAAGGAAAACAATGCTCAGAAGAATATAATTGAGTCCCTAAAGAGGGAAATGAAGGAAATACAGGAGATCAAAGGATTAACAGAAGAGCTAAAGAATGCTGGGAAAAGCAGTGAAAACAGAATAGAGGAAATGGAAGAACAACTAAGCACTCTCAAAGACACAGAAATAAAAAGAACCAAAAGAGAAAAGGAAAGAGAAGTACGAACAAAAAAGACTGACAAAAGACTTCGAGAGCTATCTGACTCCATGAGGAAAGGAAATATAAGAGTTATAGGAATCCCAGAAGGAGAGGAGAAAAACCTAGCAACGGAGAAAATATTCAAGGAAATAATTGAAGGAGCTGAAAATAGACATACAAGAAGCAAGAAGAACACCAAACTTCCATGATGAAAGAAAAAATACAGCAAGACACATAATAGTATACCTCCCAAGAATCCAAGACAAGGAAAAAATAATGAAGCTGACAAGAGGGAAGAAACAGATAACATACAAAGGAAAACCAATCAGACTGACATCAGACTTCTCTGAAGAAACACTACAGGCAAGGAGAGAGTGGACCGACATAGTCAACAGACTCCAAGACAACAAATGCCAATCAAGAATACTCTATCCTGCAAAGCTTTCCTTCCTCTATGAAGAAAGAATAAGGACCTTCCCAGACAAACAGAAACTCTAGAACTTCATTACGACTAAACCCCCACTCCAAAAAAGTACTACAAGGAGTCCTAAAGCCAGAACCTCAGAGGGACAAATAACAACAAAAGAAGGCCAAAAAAAAAGTTATTAAAAGAATAAATAAATAAAATCAAAGGAAAGACAAACACAATGGCAAATACAGATGCTAACATATCAATATTAACTCTAAATGTAAATGGACTAAACTCTTCAATAATAAGACACAGAGTTGCAGGCTGGATTAAGAAACAAAACCCAAACTTTTGCTGTCTCCAGGAAACACATTTAACTACAAAAGATAAAAATAGACTCAAAGGATGTAAAACAATCCTACAAGAAAATGGACCAAAAAAGAAAGCAGGAACAGCTATACTTATATCAAATAAAATAGATTTCAAACTCAAATAGGTAAAAAGAGACCCCAACAGTCACTACATTATGATCAAGGGGACAATACTTCAAGAAGAAATAACACTCATTAACATATACTCACCAAATGAAGGAGCACCAAAATATATCAGACAACTATTATCATCTGTGAAAACAGACATCAGAGATAATACATATGCAGTAGGAGACTTCAACACACCACTATCAACAATGGATAGATCAACGAGACAGAAAATAAGTAAAGACACTAAAGCTCTAAACAAGTGCTTGGGCTTAACAGACATCTATAGAATACTACACCCAAAAAAATCTGAGTACACATTTTTCTCAAGCGCATGTGGATCATAATCCAGGATCGATCACATACTGGGACACAAGACAAACATCAACAGATACACCGAGATTGAAATCATACCAACCATCTTTTCTGGCCATGAAGGCATCAAACTAGAAATAAGCCATAAAAAGAAGGCAAGGGACCCTCCTACCTCATGGAAATTGAAACCCACACTGCTGGAAGACCACTGGACTAAAGAGGAGATCAAAGAAGAAATTAAAAAATTCTTTGAATAGAATGACAAGGAGGACACCAATTTCCTAAATGTATTGGATGCAGCAAAAGCAGTGCTAAGAGGGAAATAAATAGCAATACAGGTTCACATTAAGAAACAAGAACGAACTCAAAGAAACAACCTCATCTCAAAGCTCAAAGAACTAGAAAAAGAACAACAACAACAACAACAAAAAAAAACCCAAAACCAGTAGAAGAAAAGAAATAATAAAAACTAAAGCAGAAATAAATGCAATTGAAACTAAAAAACCAATCCAAAAGATCAATGAAACCAAAAGCTGGTTTTTTGAAAAAATAAATAAAATAGACAAAACCCTAGCCAGGCTCACAAAGGAAAAAAGGGAGAAAGCACAAATAAACAGGATCACAAATGAAAGAGGAGAAATCACAATGGATTTTTAATTAATTAATTTGTAATTTTTAATTAATCAATTTGTAATTTTTAATTTAATTTGTAATTAAATCACAAATTAAAAGAATTATCAGAAACTACTATGAACAGCTATAGGGAAACAAGTTCAACAATCTAGACGAGATGGACAAATTCCTACAACTCTACAATCACCCAAAGCTAGATAAAGAAGAAATAGAACACCTAAACAGACCAATTACAAGCAGCGAAATTGAAATGGTAATCAAAAACCTCCCCAAAAACAAAAGCCCAGGACCTGATGGATTTACAAATGAATTCTACCAAACATTCAGAGACGAATTAGTGCCTATCCTTCACAAACTCTTCCAAAAAATTAAGAAGGAAGGGATAATACCAAACACTGGCTGGCAGAAGGCACTCTAGACATCCCCACTGTTCGTTGAGTCTGGCAAACAATCTCCCATGAGATAGGGTACCTTGATCAGTTCCTATACATTGATTCCTGGTTACAAATTGCCTGAGCCCTTCCCCCATGGGCACGGTCCAGTCAGAGCAGCAGCATCAGGTAGACATTTTTCTTGTGGCTACATACATCTTAGGGAAAAAGAAATCTCCAAGAACAGTACTGCAAGCATACCAGATCTGTGTGCCCTGCAATGTCAATACCCAAGAGAGTCAACAAATGGTTAATCTGGCTTTTGTGGAACAGGCAGCCTCAGAGATCCAGTGAGAATTACAAAAACTAGGGGTCTTTCTGTAATAAACATCACCCCATTAATTAAAGCGGCTGATTGATAAAGTGTTAATAAATAGAAAGGCAGCAGTGAAGAGGGAGGCAGAAAACCACATAAAAAGAGAGGTCAGTTTCCTGGCAGCTGCAATGCAAAGTCAAAATGTTCCACCAGGCCCCCGGGGTGGGGGCCAAGAGCCCTGGTCCATCCCCCCACACGGTCCAGGCAGCCACTAGCCCAAGATCAGTGTGCATATTGTAGAAAAACAGGGCACTGGAAGCGCAACTGTCGTAGATGTAGAAAGCCCCTAGCCAATGCTTGGATCTGCCCAGTATCAGCAAAAAAACAGGCGGAAGTAGTTTCCTTGAAATGGTTAATGTGGGCTTCCCTGGTGGCACAAGGGGTTAAGATGAAGCCTATGAAGCTGTCCGCAGTCACTGCAGCATGAGTTCAATCCCCTGCCAAGAAGATACCCACATGGTGCAGCAGACCTCTCCTGACTCGCCCGCGGCTCCTCTCAGCAGTGTATTTCCATCAATCTGCCTGTTTTGTTCCCTATTCTGTCTCTAGTGAACCCCCTCACCATCCACACCTCTGGTCTGTCCCCCAGTTCTTGTATGCATAAGTAAATACATTAAAAAAAAGAGTAATGGTTGATGCCTTAGACTGACAGGACCAGGATCAATTTTTTTTTTTTCCCCCAAGTGGGTTCATTTTTTTTTTTTTTTTTTAAGATTTATTTATTTATTTATATGAGCACTGGGTACAGTCAGAAGTGCGGGAGGGTGAGAGAGTTCACCAGAGTCAGAGCGGAGAGCAGAGCAGGCAGAAGGACCGAAGTACACTGCTGAGGGGAGCAGCGGACGGCAGGAGAGGTCTGTGCGCCATGTGGGACCCTCGCTGGCGGCCGGGGATCGAACTGGTGCTGCAGAGGCTATGGGCAGCTTCGCAACCCAGCGCTCAAGTGCTGTGCCACCAGGGGAGGCCCAGTATCAATTTCTTTTAACCCCCCCGCCTCCAAGCCCAGGGACAATGCCATTGCTGGGACCAACCTATAACCTTCATAATAGATCCTGAGACCATTCAAAGGCCATTCTGACAAATGTAAAATAAAAGGGCACAACATCAGACACAGATTTACCAAGCCGGAAGCTTAGACTGCCTTTAAGATATTAAAAAAAAAAAAAAAGCCACCCTCTAACTTGATCTGGATCCCCAGCAAGATGTCATACAAAGGGGACTTATGATATTGACTGTTGCCACCCCCAGGGAAAAGAAACTGTAAGACACAGGAGGTTTTTGTTGTTGTTGTTTTCTTAAGATTTATTTATTTATGTATATAAGAGCTGGGATACAGGCCAGAGATGCGGGCGGTGAGAGGATCCACCAGAAACAGAGTGGGGAACAGAACAGGCAGACTGACTAAAATAGACTGCTGAGGGGAGCAGCAGCGAGACAGGAGAGGTCTGCCTCGCCATGTGGGTTTCTCCCTGGCTGGCCGGGGATTGAACTTGTGCTGCAGAGGCTGTGGATTGCTTCATAGTGCTGTGCTTAACCCGTTGTGCCACCAGGGAGGCCTGACACAGGAGTCTTAATGCCAGGCTGGTCTGAATTGTTTAACAAACTTCTTCACACATGACCAAAAGCAAGCCCCAGGCTTGTCCCTAGCAGAGCTCCTGTTATTTGGACTTAATTCCTATGCTGTGCCACAGAGATTGTGCCAGTACCTGCTTCCGTTGGAAATCTCAGAGGGGTATCCAAAAACACCTAGCTCGTCATAAAAAAAAAAAAAAAAAAAAAAAACAACTGGTACTTTGGTAAAGAGTCAATTTAGTTGTAAAAGCACCACCTCTCCTTCCCTCACAAATAACTGGAAAAATTATAAATCAGCTCAGGACTCCCATGTCATTAATAAAGTGACTGTTTTTCTCCGCCCGGTAGTTTCAAACTTGTGCACCCTTTACCTGTTTGGATTTGAAAAAAAAAAAAGAGGAGCGCTTTCTGCCTCTGCCTGGCTCCACAAAGCTGGCCACTAACTTCTGTTAAATTCAGAGTACTGGGCCTCCCCAGTGGTGCAGCAGTTGAGCGCTGGGTTGCGAAGCTGCCCGCAGCCTCTGCGGCACCAGTTCGATCCCCGGCCAGGGTCCCACATGGTATGCAGACCTCTCCTGCCGCCCGCTGCTCCCCTCAGCAGTGTATTTCGTCAGTCTGCCTGCTCTGTTCCCAGCTCTGGCTCTGGTGAATTCTCTCACCCTCCCACACTTCTGACTGTACCCAGTGCTTGTGTAAATAAATAAATTAATTAAAAAAAAAAAATAAAGTAACTTGCTTTAAAAATAAATAAATAAATAAATTCAGAGTACCAAGTTTTTACAAAACAGGCAGACTGACGAAATGCACTGCTGAGGGGAGCAGCGGGCGGCAGGAGAGGTCTGAGCGCCATGTGGGACCCTGGCCAGAGGCTGGGGATGGGATCGAGCCTGCACTACAGAGGCTGCGGGCAGCTTCACAGCCCGGTGCTCAACCGCTGCACCAACGGGGAGGCCCCAGAATACCAAGTTTTTAAAAGGCTACAAACATGCCAGCAACAAGTATGGTACCTAGACGTTCACCCTGTACACAACAAAATTGGGGCTGAAGAATAATATAGGTTATTATTTGGGCTAAAATATAAAAGTTGCCTTTTGAGGATAACAGATGTTGGGACATGTTTCCACAGTAGGGTGGGCTGCCAGCTGGAGGGTCTCTAACATCTTCACCGACAAAACAAAAAGAAGATGGTATCAATTTGAAAGTCCTAACCTAGGTTGTGTGGCCATGGCAACACCCAGCCTCCTACCAGTTTCTTGGGGACCGAGCCTCCTACCAGTTTCTTGGGGGCCTATGTTTCAGGGCCCTAGCTAATGGAAAACTCACCGGTGGTCTTCCTAGTAAGCAAGTAAAGACAAAGACAAAGACAAGGTCATTCAACTGCTAAAAGACAAAACTCTGTGCAAATGGCTTTCATAGCTGGCCAGTAGTAGCAAGATTCAAAAATTCATGTTCTCTCACAATCGGGGTGTTCTCAGTCCAAGTGTCTGGATCTCCCACTATCTTTACAGTTGTGTTGTCCACTTGCTTAAACCATACCGTGCTATTCTTCCTCCCATGGCCATTCCCCCTGCTCCCCAAACCTGCTTAAACAAATCTGATAGAGACTGCTTGATGAACAACAGTGGCAGTGTTGTGTGCAGCTAGAACTGCCAGGCATGGTGACCCTACACACCCAGGGGAGCAGCAGCAACAAAAATAACTGATTGAGCCCCAAGATAAAGGTGACCACCGCAGCGCTCCTGGTGTTGTAGAAATTCTGGCCTTTTATCCAGGCAAAGGAAGAACAAGCGGTACTTCAGGAATGGTGAGGTCAGCAGAAGCTTTATGGCTCATGTATGAGGGCCCAGACCTGGGTAGCCCCTTAAGGTCTGAGCACCTGTTTAAACACAAAGTGTTCCTTTTATACATAACTGTCTCCATATTTGTTACACTGATAGCACCGTTTTTCAGCAGGAACAACCATTTATTGCAAAGTCCCCAGACAAGGGGCAGGGAGGACAGGCAAAAGGGTAAGAGGCAGACAACCAGAATGACTTTGGAGAGACAGACGGGCTTTAACTGGCTACCTGACCCTTCTGAAATGCAACTTTGTTCAGATAGGAGTGTTGAGACCCTGTCCATGAATCTTTAAAGGGAAAGAGCTATAAACAAGCAAACTTGATGATTATGCCTACATTGGAGTGTTCATTGCACCTGGGCTGGAAGTTCTGCTGGAATCTCTATTATATTCATTTGCTCAATAATATATTTTCTCATCACCAGTGCCTCCAGTACTGCCAGTGTAACTGCTCAGATTCATAGAGATCAGCTCCTTGGATGTGGCCGCTATAAAAGCCAGATCTCACAGAGGTACAAAGTCCATAGCTATGTCCAAGGGTCTTCCAGTGACAAAAGCGGCTGAGATCATGCCCACATCCAGAATCTTCTTGCAGAAAAACACCTGCAGGACAGGTTATGCTGTCAAGGAATCCAACACTCTCCAAGCGGATTGGTATGCACAGAGGGGCACAACTTTCTGCCTTGATTTGGGGCAGGGGCTTATCTTTTCGGACTTATCTGAAAGTCAGTATCTTTTCAGACTTGTGCTATGCTCTGGATTCAACAAATTTGATAATGATAAAAAAAGTCTGCGGTTATGCTTATTTTCCTACAATGATTGCTAACACACAAGTGTTAGTATTTGAGAACTCACCAAAAACAAACAAACATTAAATTAAGACAAAGCTTCTGAGAGTTGATCATCTGGCAGCATGACAGACTGGATGGGCTCGTTGTCAAGCAAGAAGTGCAACATCACAGCACAGCAGTAAAGGGGCCACCAGTAAAGAGCCTGGGTAAAGTCAAGTCTGTTTTAAAAGAAAAGAAAAAGGCAATCTTTGCACAGTGTAGGGTAAATAGTTTTCAGGCTTTTCTGCCCTCTTGCCATTAGGATAGCCCTGCCTGATGGGTACCTGCAGTTGGTACATTGTTGTGAGTTGTGTTGTCTACTTTTGTGGGCCATGGGAGGAGTATTGAGATAGTCACCAAGAGGAGAAGAGGCAGGAGGAAGAACAAGAGAAAGAAGGAAGAAAGCAAGTCAGAGAGAAGCCCAGAGTGAAGACTTGCTGGGGGCAAGCCGTGTACCTGGTTGCTGCACTCTATATAAAAGCTCAATAAAAGCCTAAGAAAGCCACCGAGGGCTCCAGGACTCTCCTTTACCCAGTCTGCTCAGATCATAAAGAATCAGCCCTGTGACCATCCTGCCCCTACACACAGTCTTCTTAATGCTGTTACAATTAGAACTGCTGACACTTTTTTGTTTCTACATTTGGCTTGCTAATCCAAGAACTTATCCACTATCACAGTGCCCAGTGGTGAAAAAGAGTTCAACTTTTTCCTTGTTGGTTCCTGAAAACGCTAAGTTACAGGTGAGGTCATAAAAATTAAAAGGTTAAAATTAACAGTAATGCTAAGCTGCATCTACACTACAGGAGGATAAAGCGATATGGGTGCCAAAAAAGACTCTCACTGGTTTCTTCATCAAATTCCAGGTAGAGGGGGGAATGATAAAGGCTGCCTGATGAAAATCAACTTGTATTAAAATATCAAAGACAGACTATGCTGGCACCCAGCCACATGAAGTTAGAGGCATCTCCTATTGCCTCACCCAGATTAAAAGAAGGTAGACAGGAACAAGGATACTAGATCATCCCAGAATTCAGACTCAGTGCCCCAAAGTTCAGGAAAGTTAGATAAACCACAACATTTAGAACATTTTAACTAAGCTTGTGTGAAAAAGGAAAAAAAAAACAAAAAACAAAATCCAGACAGAGGACTCCAGGCTATATATATCACACTTAATGTGCTTCAGGAAGTTCACCTGTAGGGGCAGGATGGGCAGCTTTCCATGCATTGCAGCAACCAGGTACACAGCAGGCAGAGGTGCCGGGGCGGGGGGGGGGGGGGGGGGGGGGGTGTCAGCCAGAAGGCCGGTAGGCCTCCTAGGCCCCAGGCAAGTCTTCACTCTGGGCTTCTCTGGCCTTCTTTTCTCCCCTTCTCTCTCCTGTTTCTGCTCCTCTTGGTGACTATCTCAATACTCCTCCCACAGCCCACAGAAGTATACAAGTCAGCTTGCAACAATGTAACAACTGCAGGTGCCCCATCAGACCGCAGTCCTAATGGTGGGAGGGCTGAAAAGCCTGAAAAACAGTTGACCTTACAATCCACCCTCTCAGGGTTTTCTGCTATACAGTCTGTATACAAGTATATACAAGTTTCCTTTAACAAACACAGCAGCCACGGCCCACAAATGAAAAGACAACATAATAATGAAACAATACAACAGAACAAATAATTCCAGGCAGGGCACCAACCTAGTGGCAAAAGATAATTATTGGCACCAGCATATGATCTACCACTTCTGCTGCTGAAGGCGCTGCTCATACAAGGAGGGAACCATACGGCTGTGGTCTTGGCCAAAAGCCACATACCGCATCCACCCCCAGGATGCACTCACTCTTGGATTGGTGATTCTGTACTTTGGGAGTAATCACCCAACCCTCAGGGTTTTCTGTCTGCGGTCGCTTCAACATGCGGCTTTCACAGCCACCAATGCGTCATGCAGACCTCTGCACTTAGGCCAACCCACTGCACAAGCACATGGGTCGGGGATCTATGGATACAAGCTCCGCATGCAGCCTCTCTTGGGTCCCCTATTTGGCTGTGGGTTCCACCACAAGCCACATTCCCCACTGGTCCCCCAAGGATGGGTTCCTCAACAACTTACCCTAACTCAACAGTGAGCAGGGCATCACCCACAGGTGATTTTAAGAGACTTACTGGCCTTCTTTAGCATACTTGGGCTGCTTAACAGGCACTCAGGGCTTCCCAATCTCAGCACCAGCTTTTGCCTTATCTAAGTTGGCTTTTTTCCTCTGCCTAGTGGCTGGGCAGTACACAGGCTGCTTTTGGCCATCAAGTCCCACTGGCCACCCCCACATTCCCATCTCCTGGGGTGTACAAACAATATCATCCTCCCCCATGGTCCCCAAAACATAACATTACCCTGCCAAAGTTCCTCCACCTTCTGGAGGGATTGTCAGTCCAAGTCCATCAGTCTTTTCCTGCATCAGCACTGGTGAGCTCCAAATCATGGTCCTTTCTTCCCAGACAATTCTGCCGCCTCAGTTGTCATGGGCTGATCCTCTTGGGCTGTCTCCTCCTCCAGGCAAGGTCTCCTCCCGCAGCTCCTGGCCCTTGTCCACCTCCTGTGCTCTTGCAGCATCTTTAGCTCTTTCCCCAGCTCCTGGATGTTGTTCATCTGTGCTGTCATGACAAGTCCAGCGTTGTCACGGACAAACAGTCTGCTACTCCTCAGTCCCTCCTGATGTCTTCAGAGGGCTCCATACCCATTGTAGGGTAAGGTAAAAAGTATCAGGCTTTTCTGTCCTCCGCCATTAGGATAGATGATGGAACCCTGCAGTCCTGAATGCATGCCTGATGGCAGGCACCTGGAGTAGGGTGTGGGCATAGGTAGATGGGATTCACCTGGGCTAAGACTGGGCTTTTAAGGATGGCATCACGGGGACGGCAGCAGGAGCAGAGAAGCTGGGAGAGAGAGAGAGAGAGAGAGAGAGAGAGAGGGAGAGAGAACACCAGAAAGCCCAAAAAGAGTGAAGACTTGCTGGGGGCTGGGAAGCCTGCCAGCCTCCTGGCCCCCCAGCACCCCTACCTGCCATGTACCTGGTAAATCCCAATAAAAGCCTGCAAACACCACTGAGGACTCTGACTCCTCCTTTACCTGGTCTCATGGATCAGAAAACCTGTGCAGTGTTATTCCTGCCCCTACACCCATCTGCTTCGAATCATCCTGCCGACTTACGCCAATTGTAGGGGCAGGATGGGCACTGAGCAGGTTTTTCTATGATCTGCACAGATGGGGTAAAGGAGAGTCCTGGAGCCCTTGGTGGCTTTCTCAGGCTTTTATTGAGCTTTACATGCATCGCAGCAATCAGGTACACAGCAGGCAGGGGTGTCTGGGAGCCATGAGGCCGGTAGGCCTCCAGGCCCCAGGCAAGTCTTCACTCTGGGCTTCTCTGACCTTCTTTTCTCCCCTTCTCTCTCCTGCCTCTCTCTCCTGCTTCTGTCCTGCTTCTGCTTCTCTTGGTGACTATCTCAATGCTCCTCCCATGGCCCACAGAAGTAAACAAGTCAGCTTACAACAATGTAACAACTGCAGGTGCCCCATCAGGCAGGGCAATCCTAATGGTGGGAGGGCAGAAAAGCCTGAAAAAACATTTATCCTACAACACTTTAGAGTACCTACACCTGTATCAGAGTCCCCTGGTATATTCGTGCTAGCCAGGTGACGCAGTCTGGGTAAAAGATTAAAAAGGTCTCCCAAACCCACATGATTGGCCCCTCTACTGTTATTTTAACTACTCCTGCTGCTTTAAAGTTCTCAGGTTCCACCCCGTTTGGTGCATCACTCCTGAGTGAAACATGCCTGCAAACCAGAAAAAGGACACTTTGGCCAGCAGATGGACAGAGCCCCTGATCCTGAGAATCACCCCTGCTTGAGGCCACAAATGGATTTACCCACCAAGGAAGCCTTAGACATCAAGCCCTGCTCTGGCCACACTCAGGAAGGTGGTTGGTATATGCATGGCAGAAGCTTGAGGACCTTCTACACGTTGACCTCTTGGTTGTTATTTTTACTGTACCTGTAATGACTGTCTTTGCAGGTGGCCTAGCCACAGTGGCCCCTGACCACTGGGAATTGGAGGTCTGTATTTAAGAACAACGTTGCTTCTATGCAAACAATTTTGGGGTAGTTCAGAAAACACCCACCCAGCTCTGGGACCAAACTGAGGGCAAAGAAGAGGCCCTGCATTGACAGGCCTCTCCTGCCGTGCCCACTGTTCCTCTCAGCAGTGTGTTTCATCAGTCTGCCTGCTCTGTTCCCTGCTCTGGCTCTGGTGAATTCTCTCACCCCTCATGCGCTTCTTACTGTACCCAGTGCTTGTATAAATAAATAAATCTTAAAAAAAAAGAGGCCCTGCAGCAGCCAACCAAGTAAGATTCCTCCTTCCCAGGGTTCCCGTGACTCTCACCTCATAATGGCTACTGGTTAGTAATCAGGGTTACCTTAAAAAAAAAAAAAAGGTTTATAGGTGATGCCCTGTAAAAAAAAATAACTCACAAGGGCATCAAAGGGGGGAATGATGAGAAAATATATTATTGATGTAGGGTAAGGTAAAAAATCAGGCTTTTCTGCCCTCCCGCCATCAGGATAGATGAGGGAACCCTATGATCCTGAATGCATGCCTGATGGCGGGCACCTGAAGTGGGTACACCTGCGCTAAGACTGTGCTTTTTTTTTTTTTAAGGGCGGCGTCATGGGGACACCAGTAGAAGCAGCAGAAGCCGAAAGAGAAGCAGAGAAGAAGAAGCAGAAAAGAAGAAGCAGAAGCAGAGAACGCCAGAGAGCCCAGATAGAGTGAAGATTTGCTGGGGGCTGGGAGGCCTGCCAGCCTCCCGGACCCCCAGCACACCTGCCTGCCATGTACCCGCTAAATCCCAATAAAAGACCTGCAAAAAACCGCTGAGGACTCTGACTCCTCCTTTACCCGGTCTGCATGGGATCAGAAAACCTGCACTGTGCCCGTTCCTGCCCTTACAATTAAGCAAATGAATATAATAAAGATTCCAACAGAACTTCCAGCTTCCAGCCAGGTGCAACAAACACTCCAAATGCAGGCATAATTAACAAGTTTGCTTGCTTACAGCTCTTTCCCTTTAAAGATTCATGGCCAGGGCCTCAGAAGGGTCAGGTAGCTAGTCAAAGCTGGTCTGTCTCTCCAAGGCCTTCCTGCTTGTCTACCTCTTCCCCCTTTGCCTGCCTCCCTCTCCTTGTCCAGGGACTTTGCAGCAAATGGTTGTGCCTGCTGAAAAATGATGCTATCAATGCAACAAATATAAAGACAGTTATGTATAAAAGGAATCCTTTGTGTTTAAACTGGTGCTCAGACCTTACAGGTCTACCTAGGTCTGGGCCCGCATGTATGAGTAATAAAGCTTCTGCTGACCTCACCATTCCTGAAGTACTGCTTGTTCATCCCCTGCTTGGGTAGATGGCCATAATTTCTGTTAGGGGGAAAGGATGTTCTGAGCAAACTCCATATAGGCTTTGTGGACTCCACCCCTTCTCCATCAAGACACTGGGAACTACAAGCTCCATGATCACCAAAGGGAAGGTTGCGAGGACCTGAGGGTGGTGTTAAGCAACTAAGTTCTCGATTTGAGTATTTAACTGGCCATGTGGCCAGGGGTCACCCTCTTGGCCACACAGTGTGCTTGGTTTTTCACCAGCTCTGCTGGTCATTGGAATTCCAGGTCAGCAGAACAGGTAGGACATTTACAAACTTATCTCCCTCTTTTTTTCCCTGAGTTATTCATTTTTCCATTTCCCCTTCCCCTGCAAATGAACCTTTTATCAGGGAGAAGGGATCAACATGGCAGTGGGGAAATGCTGCAAGGAAGTCCTCCCATTTAAAAAAAAAAAAAAAAAGTTACTTGGGAGGAAAAGTGGCAGGTCCCTGCAAAAACCAGGACATGGAAGATAAACTGATGACTCTGGCAAACTATCCAAAGAGGAAAGTTGCTATAAAAGAGGATGAAAAGAGAGGAAAGCTCAGAACCCTGCTACCTTCCCTCACCCACAATGCCGGTACAGTCCAACCAACAGAAAGAAAAAAACAACAATGAGAACAAACTACACATCAAGTGGGACTGTGAGTGGAAAGGAACTATTGCAGGCACCGCACCCTGCAGACAGGAACTGTGGGAATCACCACAGAGGTGATGGCTCCAGGCGCCATTAGAGGAAACAAGGACTCCGCAGAGAGACCTGCAAATAGCCCAAGGCCAGCCAGTAAGCTTGTGTGGAAAAGCAGCATGCTTGAGCGGATCAGATCACAGCAGCCCAGGTCCACACCCATAACCTAGGTTTGTGGGGGACATGTAGGAGCTGTCACTAAGGTGAATGTCCCTCACTGAGTCATCTGAAACCAGGTGCCTGGACATGGGAGTGGGGTGCAAAAGGCACCATTTCTGTGGACACTGAACTGGGCTACAGCCCACATCCTGGATCTGAAGGCTTCTGAACTGAGACCGGTGCATGAAGTTCGGGGTGTGAGATCCCCACGACAGCAGGGACAGGGCAGACACAGCACACCCATGCCGTTGAGGCACTCCACACCACCCCCACTCTGTTCCCCGGCCCACAGAGGGGGAAAACAACAGTCCTGGAAGGACACTAGGAAAGATCTCTGGTGCCACCTAGTGACCAGAACAAAATCACCAACATCCTGATAGTTGGAAACCAGGGATCCCAAAAACACCCACAGGCTCTGAGGGAGGGTGGGCCATGCAAACGGGGCTAAGAAAGGAAATAAGGCATGGCGCAAGACCCTATTCTGGAACTGAGAGCCAGGTGCAGGATCCGGGGCATGGGACACACCATAGCAGTGGGCACTACACAGTATGACAGCCAGCATTTTGGATCTGATAGCCCTGGAACTGAGACCTAGAGTGCAGAATTCAGGGCACGGGATCCATACAGCTGCAGGCACAGCACCAGGTGAACACAGGGCAAACACAGCTCCCAGCTAGAATAAGAGCCCCTGTGTTGAGGTACTCCCCTCTGCTCCCCCCACCCTCCATTTCTCAGAAAACCACTGGGAAAAAGCACATGTCAGCAAGTATGGGTCTCTGGCACCACCTCGTGACCAGAACAAAATCACCAACTAGCTGATTCCCTGTTGGAACTGAGTAAATACAGAGGGAGGGAACTGTAAGGGACAGTGCCCAGCAGCACAGCATCAGCACTCTGGTGGAGTTGTAGCCTACCAGTGCTGGTCTCAGTCTGGTAAACAGTTTCCAACACCCCTAAAGGTGCACTCCAAAGAGATGCCTGCCAACACCAGTAGCACAACAGCCCAACACATAGAACTAATTAGAAAGCAAACAACAGGGAGAAGAAAAAATATAACCAAGCAAGCCTGCAGGAGGACACACCACAAGAATACAGTCACCAGAGCTCAGTAATGACAGGGAAAAACTTCTCAGCCTATCAGATAGAGAATTAATGATCATAATGATTTAAAAGCAGAAAGAAAATGAAAAGGAAAAAAATGATTTGAGACAAATAATCACTGAACTGAAGAAGGAAATTGAGACCTTAAGAAAGGAAAGAAAAGAAACACAGGAGATTAAAAGATTACTAGAGGAGAAAAAGAACTCTGAGAAATGCAATGAAAACATAATCGAAGAACTAGAAGAATGGATCAGTACTATTGAAGATACAGAAATAAAAAGAGCCAAAAATGAAAAGGAGAGAGAAGTACAAATGAACAAGTATGAGGATAATCTTAGACAATTATCAGACTCCATTAAGAGAAGAAATGTAAGAGTTATTGGCATTCCAGAAGGTGAGGAGAGAGACAAAGGAACTGAGAAATTATTAAAGGAGATAATTGTAAAAAACTTCCCTGGACCTCCCCGGTGGTGCAGCGGTTGAGCGCTGGGTTGCGAAGCTGCCTGAGGCCTCTGAGGCACCGGTTCGATTCCCGGCTGCTCCCTGGCCACTGGAGGAGGGTCCCACATGGCGTGCAGACCTCTCCTGCTGCCCGCTGCTCCCCTCAGCAGTGTACTTCAGTCCTTCTGCCTGTTCTGCTCCCTGCTCTGGCTCTGGTGAATTCTCTCACCCTCCTGCACTTCTTACTGTACCCAGTGCTTGTATATATAAATAGATAAATAAATCTTAAAAAAAAAAAAAAAAAAAAAACTTCCCAAGCATGAAAAAGGAGATGAATATAGACATACAAGAAGTGAGAAGAACTCCCAATTTCCTAATGAAAAGAAAACTACAGCAAGACACCTAATAGTAAATCTTGCAAGAGTCCAAGACAAGGAAAAAATAATGAAACAGGCAAGGGGGAAAAAACAGATAATTTATAAGTTATCTTATATAGCATGTTCAGCAAACTTCAACACAGCAAATGCCAACCAAGAATACTTTACCCTGCAAAGCTCTCCTTCCTCTATGAAGAAAAACTATGGACCTTTTCAGACAAACAGAAACTCCAGAAATTCATTACAACTAAACCCCCACTCCAAAAAATTCTACAAGAAGTCCTAAA